CTACTACTACTACTGCTACTAAAACTACTACGACGACGACGACTACTACTACTACTACTACTACTACTACTATATCGCTACCGCTACGACTGGTGCTCCTGCCGATACTGCTGCTGCTACTGCTGCTCCTACACCTACTCCTAGTCCAGGTGCTAGTCCTAGTCCTACTGCTCCTGCTACTGCTGCTGCTGCTGCTACTGCCACTGCTGATGCTGTTGCTGCGGCTGCTCCTGCTGCTGTAGCATCATTGTCAGTGGCAGTGCCCCAGTGATTTTGCCTTGATTCCGCTGCGAGCCCAGAACCGAAATTTCCCGCCTGATAACAGATATTGACAAATGGGCGGTTTGGGGCAGGGTTTGAGTCAAACAATTGAGGGGTGGCAATTCATTCGCTTCCAACGCCTGCTGAGGTTGCTACAGGGTACCTGCATCGAAGGGAAGATCTCTGCAGATCCCCTCCCCTTCGCCCGTCATCTCCTCAGTCTGGCCTCGGCACCTCTCCAAACCGGTGCAACCGGTGCCCGCGGGCGGCGCGGCCTTGCTGCCATCATGCCAACATGCCATGCGGTGTACCACAACATGCTTCTGTCAGCTCGAACTTTGTGTTTCTAAATCGGGTCGGGGTCAGCCAACTTCCATCCAGCAGAAAGGTCTTCGATGCAGCCTGGCCGCGTTGAAGCTCTGTTGGGAGGCGTTTGGCGGACAGCAGCCGCCACCGCAGCTGAAGCGACAGCGCCACCAGCAGTCCTCGTAGTGAGCTCTGTAGTTTTGAACCTTGCCTCTGCATCTCCGCATACCAAGCCGGACACTCAGGCCAGTGCTGGGTTGAGGGGACCAGGTTCGACTTGGACAGCAGAGGCATCTGCGGATCCACAGCGAAGAAGTGTGGGAGCATGGTCGTTCACAAGAGATCAAAGGGGAGCAAGCTCGGTTTATGTTGACTTTTTGTATGAATGAAAACAACCGAGAAAAGATGTGGCCTATCGGGTTTATCGATCGTTTTGCGTATTTGCAAGCTCGATCTCCAATGAAGAGCGGGCCATCTCCTTAAAACTCGTGGAGCATCCTAAAGAAGAGTCTCACGGTCTAGCGGGCTCCATGGCCTCTGCCTCCTCGCCCCCTCGCAGAGGTGACAGCGTCCCTCGCAGGTAACAAGAGCTTCGAGGAGTTGCTCTGCTGGACAGTCCCACTGCGATGGGCACCTGAACCTCTCGAGGGATCGCCTGGCCTCCGCACCGGAGACCTCGGCAAGTCTGTCGTTCTTAAGCCTGCAATCTTCGGCATGTTCAGCCGCAGCCTACAACCGCGGCTGCTTAATTCATCAACCCGCCGTCCAGCGAAATGCCTCACAGCCATGCTGCTAAGCCGGCATAGCCGTTGCTAGTCAGCTACTACGCGACCTAGCGTGAGCCGGAGCTGCCCACAACTTTTCATGCTAGGCCCTAGTAGGCATGCCTGGGGGCATGGCGGTGTTGCCCTGGCCAGATTCATGCGGAGGTCCTGGCATCGACAATTGCGCCAGAACCGTCTGTTTCGTCATTTCTGGAAACAGCTGCGCCCATCACCACTGTCCAATGTGAAAGGTGGGGTTTCTGCAGGACATGAAGAGGGGATGGAAACATGCTTTGCTCCTCGATCTCGCGCCGCACCGAGACTAGCTCAGAGGCCTGGACATCCTGCAGTTCGTAAGCCTCGGAGAAACAGACTGTTTCCGAACATTCCAGGACTCAATTTCCTGTCCACCGGGCCTTGGCCAACTCTGCATGCAGCTGCGGCAGCTGCTGCAACACCGCTGCCTTGCAGACTCACAAGACCGAGGAACAGTAATTACAGCATAGCACGGAAGATCCTGGAAAGCTCAAAGAGATATGAGACTGACCGAAAGCGCTTACCGGCCAAGCAGCCATGTCCATCCGCTCTTCACTCGTCTCTGCCCCTGCCACACCGGCGAATGCATTAGGAGAAACACTCCGGGCCCTTGCTTTCGTGGCGCTGGCCTAAAGGCTGCTAAGCGCTGTTCAGACTCGGCGCGACTTGCATCGTCGGGGGTTTGGTCATCCTTAAGCTCTCTTCCAATCTCCATCCTCTGCATTCCTTTTGCATGCTGGTTTTCACTTGAAGACCAGCACATAAGTCCTGGGAGTCTCAAGAAACCGACACTGTGAAGGCACACTCAGTCCTCCCGGATAATATTCACCAATCTTGAGATTAATGACTTGCCATTGAGGTCTTGAGGTTCAAGAAGGCTTTGAGCAGCAACAGGTTGAATGAATGGTTTTGCGGTGTCATGGAATGATCTTCGGGTCTTTCGTCGGGAATTATTGAATTAAAAAGGCAAGCGGACGAGCCATGATGAAAAGAGACTCTCTTGCTTTTGTCTGGTTTGAAAATCTTTCGATCGTGGTGACCACTTTTCCTGCACCTTACGAACGGAAAGTGACAGTGATCCTCTGAGTTTTCTGGGCTGTCGACCTTCTGCATCGACAGCGGTAGCAATGCCCTCGATCGAGGCTGGAAGCGCTCCACATTTTGTGTACTCAGTCTGCTCGGTTTACCACCACATTTTGTGTGTATTGATTCTACGGACTCGGCATCAGGTAAAATGCAAGTCGCTTACCACAAAACTTGCCACTCGGAGCCAGTGCTCGCTGATGTGGCTGAGGAAAGCTGCTTCCTTGAGAGTCGAAAGATGCTACAGCCACCGAGCCGCAACAGCAGTCTTTAGGGCTGACACCACATAGGAAGGGACGCAGCCGCAGCCTGCACAGAGAAGATTAGACTGCGCGACACCGCTTCGCTCGCGGCCCGGTCCCGCTGATCACCTCCTGTGTGTGTGCAGATTCCTCCGGCCCAGGCCCTAGCACAGCGAGCAGTGCAGTGAAGGTGCAGTTCAGGTGCAACTGCAGGTGCAAGCTTTGCGGTCTCTCTCTTACTCTTGCTCGCCTGACGCGGCCTTTAGGACTGGGATCCCGCTCTGGGCCTCTCAGAGGAAGAAGCGGCTGAACTGCTGAACCGTGCGGGACTCTGCGGACGTGCGCCTGCCAGGGGTCCAGGTCGCCCTCTTCTCCCCAGGGCTGGTCTCGTAGCGCAACCTGACACCATGCATCCCAGCTCTCGGAGAAGCTTCTCTGCTTCAGCAGCAGCTACATGCGAGTTCTGAGACGTTTTCTCGAGATCCGGCTTTTAGATGGTCTGAAAATTGGCCTCGTCGTAAACTTCTCTCATGACCTGCTCCCATTCGGAAACGCGGCAGGATGCACGTGTCCAACTGTGACAGCTGGTTTCAAAAGCTGGAGCAATGAAGCCTGCCTCCAGCCGCTGCTGAAAGTCTGGCAAAGTCCAAGTTGCAACCACTTCGGACCTGATGAACGGGCAGTGCCGGCGACGACAAACCGCACTCACGCGCACACACACACACACACAGACATATATATATATATACATACACACACACACCCGCGCGCGCACACACTTAGAAGCTTTAAAAACACAGCAACTTCAGCCAGCATTCACGTCACTTCACGTCGCAGTACGTAGTGAGTGCCAGAGGCCGCAAGATGTGATGGCTCCAAGGACACCGGCTTTTGTTGCAATGGAGGGCTGACATAACTCATGATTGGTGACCATAGCCTTGCCTGTCTTCCAAATTGCAGCCCCCGTTGTCTTCATCGAAGTGCGCCTGGCCTCGCATTGCTTTCAAGCTGTCGTGGAGTTTCGTGTTCTTCTCTTCACTTCAAGTGGGGCAGACAGATAGCACTGCTGCTTTCGCTGATATCGCGCATGATCACACCTGGCGGTCGGCGCTGGCGCAGAAGAGAGACGACCAGCGTGGTCGCCTGCTTTGAAAGGAAACCCTGAAATCGAGCTGGCAACCGCGACAAGGGCATCCAAAGACGAGCGCTGGAAGCCGTGAGGCCTCTGTGCTGTTCAGGGGATCCATCAAACGATGCCCCTGCGCACAGAGGCATCGAGCGTCTGCGCATCTCAAGGCGATCTACGGTTTGCTCACCGATCCTGTCTTCGAGATTCGAAAGGATTCGAAGAGCCCACTGAGGGACCCGGGACCACGGCAAGCCTTGAGGGACACACCGCACCAGCTGGCCTTGAAGGAAAACTCCTCATCACTGTCCCCCCTGAGTTCCTTGGTGAGCTCGTTTGCCTGGCAACGGAACCCTCCCAGCCCTCCCACTGCACTTCCTGATAATGCCATCTCCAAGTCCGTCCGACAGCCTCATCCACAGCGAGCTTCAAATCCTTCAAGCCGCCCAGGACCTCCACGAATGCCAAAGCTCTTTCCGGCTAGGCGCAACTTGCGCAACTGGTTCCTGGGTTCCCGCCTGTGCAGCTCGGTCTGCGCCCAAGCGCTCTTTGAGCTGCTCGGCATCCTGATGTAATGCCGGTCGTGAGATCGTCAGTCCCGGGGAAAGATCCATGCAGGCCTTGGGGAATGTCAAGCTATAGGTCGTCTCGATCGCGAGGGCGTCCTCGCAGAGAATCTGGTCGAACTCTGAGCCCACGGCGGCCGAGAGCCTCTGGGCGTGGCCCCAGTCGCCGGTCGTTTTCCGAGGCGCACTTAGCTAGGAAGCTTGCAAACCGCTAGCACCATTGGAAAGCGAGTCAGCTCAGCGCACAGCAGCCGGGATGACAACTCTGAAAAAATGTGCCCATCCAACCTCATGACTGAGTCGATCCTGTGCTACATGTGAGAAAGGTACGGCAAGGTACGGGAAGTTAAGAGCATGCCACATGCCATATGCGGGAGTGTGCGAATGCGCGACATTAAGTGTGTTTTTGCCCAAGCTTTCAGAGAATAATGGCATACAACTGCAAAGGGAACACTGCTGAATGTTGTGCTGAGCTTTCAGCTCGCAGAACATCCCCACTTCGAAGTGCTAGCGTGGCCTGCATCAGACGAGAGCCGTCTGCAAAACACACAACATAAAACAACTGCGAATCCGGACATGCACCGATGGTTCGATTCGTTGGGAAAGACAATTAGTCGAAGTGGCACCTTTGTCAATCTTCGTTGCTGTAGGAAACTGCTCCGTTCTAGCAGCTTGCGCTTAGACAATCGCTTTGACGATGCTTTGCGTACTTGTACCTGCAGCTCCTGCTGTCCCATCCCACTCACTTCATGAACCAGGAGTGAACACGGAGCGGGGTGGCCTCCACTGTCTGGCCGTTGACCAGCAGCGGGCCAGCACGCTTGAAGAGGCTCCTTGACATTCAGGACTCGGAGCAATCATAATCGTTGCGCTCTGTGTGTTCTTTGCAGAACCCTGTCATCTACACATTGTATGGTGACCTTCTCCATCCTTCTCTCTACCCTTCGGCGGTCTTTGCGAAACCAGGTGCCAACTCGGCACTGCCGGATTCTGACTTGCTTCGGCTCACGCGCTCACTGAGTCTACAACATTCCACAACGGAGCCCATGCAGAACTCTGCAGATACTTAGCGAAGTATATGAAGTGCCAGAAAGCCGATCCTCCTATTCCGCAATTCCGCCCCTGCACTTCCCAATCCCCAGCCCAGGCTATACGTGTGAGGCCTTCTCTTCAAGGCTACCGTGCAGCAAACAATTTAAAGCTAAAGACACCATGCAGCTCAAGTCAGCCCATCCTTCTCCTCACGATCAGGCCATCCTCAGTCAAGACGCGCTCCAACATGCAAAGCCACGCCAGGTGTCTGATTATCTGCCTGGCACTTCTTCGCCGTGTGGCCCACGAGCTGCGGAACAACCTCATGCGGGAGAAAACCGCGTGCTGACGAACCAACTCAACCGATGAACCCCTCCGTAGTATGATGTACCACCCTGCCCCCGCGCTCTCTCTCTCTCGCGCGATGCAGCCGAAGCTGTCCAGGCCCTCCCTCCCAGCAGACGCCAAGGTCCGCACTTCGAGTCGACTGGCCTGCACACCTGGCCGGCACAGACAAGTCTCGCCGCGAACCAGAAAGTGATGTAGGGTTATGAGTGGAGGTCCCTGGAACCGTTGGGATAGTCTGAAAGACTTATTTCTGTGAGATTTGTGTGAGCGAGAGTGTGAGGTTGAGTGTGAGAGGCAGTGTGAGCTTGTGTGTGAGCGAAAGTGTGAGGCCGAGA